TACAGTTGTACACTAACATAGTCTATCTTATGTAGATATGGGGATACCCCAGGGTGTATGTACAGTTGTACACTAACATAGTCTATCTTATGTAGATATGGGGATACCCCAGGGTGTATGTATACAGTTGTACACTAACATAGTCTATCCTATATGTAGATATGGGGATACCCCAGGGTGTATGTTCACTAACATAGTCTATCCTATGTAGGTATGGGGATATCCCAGGGTGTAGAATAATAGTGTCTGTCCTCTATATAGGTATAGGGGGGTACCCTAGTGTGTGTATACTAATATTCTGTCCAATGGCCATGGTAGCATTGGAATACCCAAGGATGTAGATTTTTAGATTCACGTATATAAATGTATAAAGAATATCACAGGGTGTATATATATATAATTCTGTCCTGTGTAGGTATGGGGATAGCTAAGGGTGTAGACTAGTATTAACCATATGTAGTTATAAAGGAAAACCCTAGGTCAGAGATTTTTTTTTATCATGTATTATAAGTATGGGGATACCTATATCTGTGATTCTGAGCTTGATTCAATTTTGAACATTGGTGATCAGGGTATAGATTAATATACTCTATGTTAAAGAGTTATTGGGAATACCTCACATTCTAGACTAATGTAGACTAGTCTATCCTATGTAGCTATCATGTGTCATGAGAACAACCCATGATGTAGTCTAATAGTCTATCATGAGTATAGGTATCCATATCAACATACATACATATAATGAAACTTTTTTCGTCCATACCTTATTAGGAATATATGTAAAATTGTTATTTTTCAGTTTGAACAACATACATTTATTTTCTAGATAGGATGGGCTTAAACTATTTTAACAAAATTATTTCTATAATGGGAGTTTAGTTGTATAGCTTACCAATGTCCAAGCAGTGTTCAACATCGAAGGTCCTCTGTCCATCATAGAAATCATCACCCTGTAGAAATTTGACAAAATCAAAAACTATGAGTGTAAAATTGGATTTCATAAAATGAAAGCAATGGAAACAGGTCATATTACTGAATTTGTTTTGTAATAACTAATATGTATTTCCAAAAATAATGGTGAACTTTGTTCAATCATTCTGTACCAGAAAAACAGATAATTATATGAATGGCTCTAAACAGAATAGCCAATTCTCACACAAACATTTTCTGTTATGAGGTTTATATCTATTTTCACAATATTTTTTTTGCTCATTGAATTTCTTCAACTTTGAGTACAAAAGTATCTCTTTGTATTGAAAGAATGGTGTCCTGTTTTGTTCCAAAAGTTTTTACCTGATTTACCTGATCCTCGGCTTGTTTTAAAAGCGTGTTTTTTTCATTATTTTTTTCAGCAATAAAATTGTTTCTGTAAATTAATAGTAAGTGGTACCGCGGAATCAGATAAGTCCATAGTGGTACCATCCATATGAAGAACCATTTCTCATATTTAGATTTTAGAAGCTTTGCTCTTATCCGTTTACTCGGCAATTTTCGCCTTACCGGCTCCGAAATTGGTTACCTAAGGCTTGTTACATGTGTATCTCGGTTCAGCCTCCCGAAGACCTGTGTATCGCTCAGGTGTTACTTTTGTCGATATGAACTGATCCAGTTAATTTGACATCAAGAACATCTGCTGTATACGAATATGACACAAACAGCTACCCTTACTCACCAAGACTCCAAAATATCCGATTATACTGACACAAATCACCAGCTGTGTCATCATCTTCACAATGTTCATGGGCGCAGCCATATTGCATAGGATGAAATAAGGCAGAAAGAAGTGGTCCAATCAAATGATCTGTTATATATGACACAGTTTTACTTTCCAATCAAACGTAGCGATACATCCAACCTTTAATAGTTGGATAAAAAATGGCGGCTGCTGTTGATGGCTTACTGTATTGATGCTTAAAGTATTTACTGATTTCGTTGATATCGCAGCAGGTTTCTTATCGGAATCGCCACAAGTAACTATGGATCTTGCTGAGGATTTCAACGAAATTGACGACGATATCATATTTTATGCAGTCTTATATTCTAGCGTGACAGTTGTGTTTGCAATGGCTGTTTTATCCAAATTTTTGACACACGAGTTTAGGTTTGGTTTCAGATCTGTTTTGAGTTTGATCGTCCTGTTTCTCGGAGAACCATTGTGTCAGTTCTTTATCAAAGGCCCAGGAGGAGTTTTGACATTTGCCGCCTGCTGTCTACTAATCTATTCTGTACTTCCTGCGAGTCATTTACCAGTGGGAAACAAGGCAGTTTTGATCACAGGTAATATTTCGCTGATATCAGTGCCATTATTATATAAATATTGCTGCCTTATTATTCCTTTTGGTGGATTTTTACGTGACTTAAGCATTTACTTACTTTGGTGATTAGAGCTAAAATCTCAGAAAAATGGTTTAAAACAGTTAAATAGCTGCCTTATGTTCTTGACATCAGTCGTTAGATTACTGTAACCTGGTATACGTAACAGGTACTGGAGCACCGGTAAATCTGGCTACTTAGGCAGATTTTGCTATATAGTCAAATATGACTAACAAATGTAAATAAACAACACCTTAATGGTAACATTTATCTAGTGCACATCAGTAAACTTTTTGACCGAGCAGATGAATTGGTCAAATAAAAGATTTAGTCTGATAACAGAATTTTAATTGATTTAGTGAATTTCAAACATTGCCTTTTTCCCTGTCATCTAGCTTGTGTCCCTTATTAATTAGCATGCAACTATAGCGTTTGTCTATTCAATATGGCGTCAAGTCTTCCGGAAGATAGCATCCCAAAGATAAAGATTTGCGCTTCAGATGTGCTTTCAGAGGATTATACTTCTGAGTAGGATCGAATGATAACATGCAGTGAGTGGTTGTTCATGTGTCGAGAGGGAGTGAAATATTTTGTGTTTTGGTACAGAAATTGTTAATTTTCCTGTGTAACCATCGGATGCAGAGGATAAAAGATGCTATTACATGCACCAAAAATTGCAAAGATGAAAATCAACAAAGTCACCAGAAATTGAATTCAATAAAATTAAAACCTTTCGTTTTACATTGATCAACTAATTCAACTTACCTGTTTGTCCACCAAATTTTTAATGAGCATGAGGAAATTGCAACCACGATTGACTTGTTTGTTTACACTCGTCCTATTTACGTATACCGGTAGTCATATTTGACATTTATGCCTATATAACCAGATTTAATTTGCCAGTGTTCCGATACCTGTGTAATATGAGCAATTGAATTGTATTTGTAATATAAGCAAATAGACTTGTTCAATATATATCTTATATAAGTGATACAGCAGTTTTTAATAATAATACTCTTGGCCTCCATAACAAAGTAAAATATAAGTGGGCCATGGCCAGGTAACGTTATGTACAATTACTGTACACGTCTGCCCAGCTGTCCATCCATAGATCTCTGTTTATTCGATAAACAACTACATTACAAGGTGCTTACCTTCTCATTTTGATTTTTTTATGATTGGTGACAAAAGATTGGTGATTAAAGATATACTTCAATATTGAAACACAATTGCAATTTAGCAATAATTTGGAAAGGGAGATAATTATAATCGGGTAGTGTCAAGAAAATTGTATCTGTTCATATTGTTAATAAAATTGTCTTTTGGCAGAATTTTTATTATTATTCAATATTCAACTGTCAAATTCAACTGACAAATAGCACACATATGAGAGTGTTCTTATGCTTTTGACCAGTTCAAACTGATCATAATGGCAGGAAATGAAGGAGAGAAAGGTCCTAAATAAAATAGCTCTATATATATTTTATTTGGAACCTTTGAGTCATTTGAGGATTTGTTTCAAAACTATTCAATAGTGTACTTCGATTGATGTAGACTGCCAAACACCAGAAATATAGAGATGGCGCAGTGCAACCGAACCATGTAACATCACCTGTGATCATAGTGCTATGAACTGAAATAAATTTAGTTGATTCATCTATTGAACATGCAACACCAATGTATATATATATATATCAAAATTATATGAGCTTTCTATTTATGTTTTTCGGTTCTATGATACTATTAATAGGTTGTGACAGTGGATTTGGAAGTGCTCTGGTGAAGAAATTGGACAGTATAGGTATGAGGGTATATGCTACTTGTCTGAACTCGGATGGACCAGGTGCTATAGCTATCCGCAACAACTGTTCAGAAAGGTATGTATACAAAGGGACTACAAATTCTACAATTAAATCATTCACTTAACAATTGTATATGATCTTTACTTGCACTTAGTGCCTTAATTTTATCTTTAGAAGTTAAAAATTCTAAAATGTTATGCTGTAAATTTAAACAAGGTACTGGGCCATTGTTGTAATAAAACTGTTAATTTTATTTATAAATTACCTTAAAGAAGACCATTCCTTTCTGTTTACACAAATTACGCTCAATGTGACATAGAGCATCATCAGGTAATTTTAGCAGTTGTACCCCCAGTCCTTTTTATCATAAAAAATCCAATCAGCAACTAATGAGGAAAAATATCAATATACATCAAATGTAATATTTTATTACTGAAATGAAAAGGCAATGTGCTGTATTAGGATGACCCTTGCTTTGATATGGAATACAGTTTTACATTTGCCTTCAATTTACGTTAATTTTGTTATTGAATGTGTCATCTTTGAGGACATTACAGGATAATTTTAAGAGATATAACCCGATACTGTTGTAACAGGGTGTGTGTTCTACAGTTGGATGTTACCAATGCTAAAGAGTTGGAGGAGGTTGTTAACTTCATACAAGTCCATGAAGGAGAAGATGGTAGGTGAAACTCAGGTCAAACAATACATACATATATTTTGAAGACGTGTTATCCATATTTTGTAGGTCATATCGATAAGCAAGAAATTATGTTGTCTCTTCAAAGACAGAAATAGTATCTATAATTGATATATATATATATATATATATATATTATAAGTCAGAAAAATGATCCTTATGGACAAAGAAATATTATAAAAAGAAAAATTCTTAACAATGAGTCTTTAGTACTTTCATAGGAGATTACACCAGAAGTTTAAGAAACTACAAGGTAGAAATGTTAACAGTTTCTAATATTAAAATTTGTATCACTTTATATACATCTGTATATGTGATAAAATATGAACTTTCATATAAATTTGTGAAAACCTTATTGTATTTTGAATTATCGGCTATATATATACTATTTTATACCACCTACTGATAGCATGATTAATTCATTATCATGGGTTGTAAGAATGAGAATACTCCATCAGTCCATCATAAACAAATCATAACAAAGTTATGTAAAAATATTGTGAGGATAGCAACACTATTTTAAGCGTAAATGTGCATTTTGAGAAGTCTGTGGCAATAATGTTGTTTTAAAAATATCTTTCTGTATCGTTTCAATGTTCATGGTATTCCTCCGTGGAAATCTTCTATTTGTTTACATTTGTCACAGACTGAGGATCTCAATGACCATTCAGCCTAGAAGTCATATGGAAGATATGGTATTTCGTTGACTTTATTTTGAATGGAGAATTATATAAGGTAGTGGTATATGAATGATAAACAGTTTATCACAGTATGTTTTCAGGGTTTGTTGTGAAAACAATTTTCTCATTGCAAGCATGTGGATAATATGAGAGGCCATCACAGGTTGACTCCAGATTTTATCCATGTAAGAGCTATGAGAAAACTTTTGTCACAACAAACCCTTTAAACACAGTGTGATAATCTAAAAACACAGTGTGATAATCTAAAAACTCAGTGTGATAATCTAAAAACACAGTGTTATAACCTAAAAACTCAGTGTGATAATCTAAAAACACAGTGTGATAATCTAAAAGCACAGTGTGATAATCTAAAAACACAGTGTGATAATCTAAAAACACAGTGTGATAATCTAAAAGCAAAGTGTGATGATCTTGAATTCTCATGATATCAACTCAGCTCCTACACAAGTCCTTCAGGCATCTTGTCATTTATCACTTTTGATTTGTAGGACTATGGGGACTGGTGAACAACGCTGGAGTATGGTACTTCTCTGAGATTGAGATGACATCAGAGGCCCTGTTTCACAAGATCTTAGATATCAACCTGTTTGGCACGATTCGTCTAACTAAAGCTCTATTGCCCCTCATACGAAAGTCCAAAGGAAGAATTGTTAATGTTTCTAGTCTTCTAGGTTAGTATGCCTGGTGATCAATAACTTTTTTCCCCACTTCAGGATTAAAAAAATAAAATCTTAACCCAGGGGTATCGGTTCATAAATGTCCATCCTTAGATTTTCCTGATAATCTTGCCAAGTGAGGAAGGTTGAACTATTCTGTCTTGCCCCTAAATTGTGGAACAACTTTTTTCTTTCATAAACTACATTCTACACCAGCAACCCAGCTACGCTGTGTGTCAGGTGATGAAAATTTAACATCATTGGTCGGTTTTCATTGTTATATCACAATTACTGCAGTTACTGGTTCAGCTTATTAAAATCATGTACCTAAGTGTTGGTAGAGAATTTTTTTGTGATTAAAACAGTAAAAGGTAGGATAATGAGAAGTCAGGAAAAAATTAAATGGTTTGTTGTAATGAGGTTGGATGCACCACAATAAATAAGGGAAATCGCTAGCAACTTGGTCTTCTAGTATGTGTATCTAGATATTAACCCTTTCATCACTGTAGACCATAATGGACTCATCCAGATCAATGCATGGTCGAGTCTACTAAAGTTACATAGGTGTTAAAGGGCTAAATAAACCAATAAATCAAAATTGTTTGTTGCAAGTTAACTCTTGCCTATCACAGTGCTCATCACACAAGCAGACAATTTTTATTTGATTGTTTATTGTAACCTGATCAAAGACACTTTCCTTAAAGTATTCAAACACATATCTAAAAGTTTATTATTTTGCATCATGCTTATTTTGTGTTGAAATTTACCAGAGATGATTATTCTTTCTCTAAAAATTGAATTGAGAAAATTAAGCTGTACTTACAGTATAAAATCATTGTTATTAATACAGTAAAAGTTCTATTGACCAATTAAATCAGCAGAAGCCTATGTACATGTATTTAAGTGTTTCCTTGTTAAAGTATTGAGTGATGTACAGGGAAAATGGAATCCCAAACTTATTTATTGTAAACGTTTTGATTGAGATCATCCTAACATACGGAGATGGTTTTTCAGTATTTGCTCATAAACTAAGTTTAACAAGCAAAACTTGAACCTGTTGTTGTGTACATTTCTTACAGGGAGAATAACAATGGCGGGCAACGGTGCGTACAGTGTATCTAAATATGGCCTGGTAGCCTTCACCGACACACTCCGACAGGAAATGAAGAAATGGGGTGTACATGTAGCTGTTATAGAGCCCACTGGCTTTTACACAGGTGGGTATTCATCAACTAACTGGTGTTCTAGGGTGCCACATTTGTAACTGCCTGAATGCTGTTATTTCAAAGTTGATGTCAGTTTCAGATTTATTCTATTATTATAGATGAGATTTTTGCATTGTCTCAAAACTCCAGGAACATACAAATGAATTGCTTTTTACAGTAGTCAATATATTGAAAGATAATTATTGTCCTTTTTATTAACACTTAACTCCGTTCCACAGTTTATCTTTGCTATTAGATTTACATTGAATAACACAACCTGTAGTTACCCTTCATAGTCCATTTAAACACATACTTAATTAAGTTGAGACTTGATAATGTATTTACACCCAAGCTTCTATCATTTCTTCGTCTCTTTCCCTATCTTTAAAATATCTTTTTTCATCATTTTGACATGCAGAGAATATGAAAGAGCACAATATAAGAAACCGGAAGGAGGAGGTGTGGAATTCTATGGATGAGAATGCCCGTCATACCTATGGTCAACTGTACATAGACACAGTGTATAACAGTATAGTGGCAGGTGCTACCCGCTACCCGGACGACCTAACGCCAGTCATTAGGGCTATGCGTAGTGGACTTCTGTCAAAGCGTCCCCGGGCTAGGTACCCGTGTGGGACAGGTGCAGACTTACTGACAATGGTGTACCCTTTGTTGCCTGTGTGGGTGGCCGATAAAGTGTCATCACTCATTGGTATAATGCCATTAGATGCCCGCCCCGCTACTCTCAGCTGAATCATCATCCTATCCCGTCATTTCAGCAAAGCAATCTGACTTTGTATCTGTTGTATGTGCTAAATGGATTGTATGTGCTAAATGTATTACAGAATGTATCTTTTAATTTATCATTTTTTTCCCCAACTGAACCTATTGGTTATAAGTTATCTTTCATTTTGTTGTTGTTTAAAAGACATTAGTGACAAAAAAGAAATGTTACGATAAGTTAATATTGATGTCTTTGAAAGAAGATGTTACTTATATGGCATCAAGTGTTATTATTTTACTCTTTATCTTCAAGTTGGATAAACAATGAAAAGTTTGGTCAAAATCATTTGAAAAAATGTGGAAATGTACAAATTGTATTTTTTTAACAAACAGGGGTATGTATACTGAGGCTGTGTTTCGTTATTAACTGATATCATTTTGTTATGACACTTGATAAAAGTATCAGTTGATACCAAGATATTGCATTAATTGTTATACTTAACCTGCTGTTTGTGAACAAAATGACATGCACAACGATACATTCCAAACTGATCAATATTGGCAAATGAAGTGTGAATTTTCCCCTCAAATTTCACAAATACTCCATAGATTTTCAGTATTATACCAATCATCTTTTTGAAACACTATAACAGTTAAATCAGTAAGAAAAATAGGTTGACAAGTGTTACAAGTCGGTAAATGTTTAAACTTTTTATGAATTCTTGCTTAATCTGAAAAACAGATATTAATTATCAACAATATTATTGAAGAAAAAAAAGAGAGAAAAAAAGTGCTTTTGTTTCTAAGTAAAAACAGATATTGATTATGAAGCCTTTATAAATCTGTAATATTTTTGGAAGTTTGCATAATTTTATTTTTAGCTTACCTGGCCTGAATGGTTCAGTGAACTTATAGAATTGTGCAGCATCTATTTCCCATCTATCAAGAGGTCAACTTTTTACTTTGAATGACTTTAAAGGGAAAGATATGATATTAAAAACAGGTAATACAGGCCCATCACAGGCCCATGGGACCTCTTGTTATATTTTGGGCAAAATGTAACGCTTACTGGTATACCTCTTATTCAGTGGCTATAAAAAAAATGAAAAATTAACAAATTAATTTAGAAGATAAGTAAAATTGTAACAATTAAATAGCTAGTCCAGCAAAATTATCCAAAATAACCCAGAAAACTGGTGATGCTTGATTACTTGTGACTCACTGGGGGAGTATTGAGTATTGTCAACTATTGTAGATATTGAGATTTCCTTCCTTTATAACTATTTCAGTACTCTAGATTATAAATTGGTTCCAAGCCTTCACACATTTGAGCATTTTGAAATCAGAATCAACTGATTACAACAGACCAAGTAAAAAAAGTAAAATGTAATTCTATATTAGAAGAGTGACCAATTAACTCTTTCACCCCTGAAATTTCATAATGAACTATATTCCATTCTTTGAATGGGAAGAGTTTAAATGTGTCTTCAGGGTCGAATGAGTTAAACACAATTTATTTAAATAAGATATTATTATTTTTTGAGATAATAATTCCCTTGCATGTTAGTATTGATTTCAGTATAATTTACATTATTGAACAGCTGGGGTTCGATCTTTCTGTAAGAAGGTAGACATGACTTTATTAGAGGTCAATATAAATCTACATTTTCGTTGAAAGATGTTAGCACAAACAGGGTCTTAATGTGGGAGGAAACTGGCGTACCCCGAGAAAGTCCATGTGGTCTGGCAGGTGACCCCTACCTTTTCATGTCCAACAGGGGTTTTCATGTCCAAACGGAAATTGAACCCTGGCCACCAAGGTGAAGGTGAGTGTATGACTCGCTGTACCACCTAACACATTGTTTACATAATTATAAACAATTTATTGTTTAAAACATAACCTTGACATTAACTTAGTTTCTGATCAGAAAAAAATGTATGTTTACCGTTAACTCTTGTAGTCAAAGTTTTATCAATGCAAATAATAATTTTAGCAAACAATGCAAAATCATATACATGTACTAGTTATAAACTAACATATATTCTTTAAATCGTTGTCACTTATTACTATCGTTATTTGGAGCAGCATTTTTCTTATGTCATATTTTATTCATTTATTTCATATCTAACTTAAATTAAATAGTACATTGTATAAGATATACAAATGGTAAAAAATATGAATGAACTCTGCTTGCAAGTGCTATGTGCAATTCCTCTCATCATTGTCACGTTTAATAAGCAACTACCATAGCATTCGCAAAGAAGAAAGATATAATTTGTTTCATTGTATATGTCCTTGATCAGTAACATGATTAAACTACATAACCAAATGAATTTTAACAATCAAACTACTTATAGCAAGCTTTATCAGTAAGTCCTAGAGGTTAATAACGTTTTTTAAGTTATGATCTAAAAGGTTAGGAGGTTATTAAAAATAATCATATCTGTGCAAATATTTATCATCTTGTGATTTCAAGATCTGAAAGGATTTACAATTTTTTGAGAGATTTTGGGTTATAATGAATCTCTGAGTTGTTGATTTCTGAATAGTATCTTTTTACATTTGCTATGATTTAAAACAGCAGTATGTAATAAGGGAGGGAAGTTATTTATGTTTGTTTTACATAGTTACTTACATTCTTGGTCTTAATAGCAAGTACATTTGCATTAACATTCTCGTTAAAACTTCATTATTCTCTACAATTTGGATTCCATTGAAACATTTTAGCTCTACTTGTAATTCATACATTAATGGCATATATACATTCAAGTTTCAGGCATGACCTTTTTATGATTTCAAAGAAAAAAAACAATATCTCTTGGTGTATGTATTACCTGTGTATTGCCTGTAATATTACATGTTTATTACATGTGTATTACCTGTAATATTACATGTTTATAACTTGAGTTTTATCTGTGTAGTCCCTGTAATATTACATGTTTATTACTTGAGTTTTATCTGTGTATTACCTGTAATATTACATGTTTATTACCTGTGTATTACCTGTAATATTACATGTTTATTACCTGTGTTTTACCTGTGTATTGCCTGTAATATTACATGTTTATTACCTGTGTTTTACCTGTGTATTGCCTGTAATATTACATGTTTATTACCTGTGTATTACATGTTTATTACTCGAGTTTTACCTGTGTATTGCCTGTAATATAACGTTTTTATTGCCTGTAATATAACGTTTTTATTACCTGTAATATTACCTGTTTATTACTTGAGTTTTACCTGTGTTTTACCTGTAATATTACGTGTTTATAACCTGTGTTTTACCTGTAATATTAAGTGTTTATTACCTGTGTATTGCCTGTAATATTACATGTTTATTAATTGAGTTTTACCTGTGTATTGCCTGTAATATTACATGTTTATTACCTGTGTTTTACCTGTGTATTACCTGTAATCTTACGTGTTTATAACTTGTGTATTACCTGTGTGTTGTCTGTAATATTACGTGTTTATTACCTGTGTATTGCCTGTAATATTACATTCATATTACTTGAGTTTTATCTGTGTATTGCCTGTTATATTATGTGTTCATTTCATGAGTTTTACCTGTGTATTACCTGTGTATTGCCTGTAATATTACGTGTTTATTACCTGTGTTTTACCTGTGTATGTGTTATTTACCTTATTAAGATTACTTGTTTCTTATCCTCTTCGAGGACCACTTCATATTTGATTGGTTTCTTGATTTAGTTGTTGACTGTTTTCCCGAGTTATTCTGTGTTTTGTGTACTAACTGTAATATGTACTAATAGGTACATTTTTGTTATTTTTTTGTTATTTCAGAAATGTGGGTCAGAATAATTCTAATATAGCATACTCAATAAAAAATACTGTCATGTTTGAATGTGAACGGTACCATGATGGTGTATAAATAGAGGATATTCAATAAGTGCTGATTAATCAATACCTGTGCTGTTTTATGGATGACCTGGGAATTTGATAAATAGCTAGGGGCAATTGTTGTAGAAAATGTTTTCTATTCGTTAGCAATCCAATGAAGTTATGACTGATTAAGCATTACTATGTATGGTATTCATTCATTACAAAAAAAAGTTTATTAAGCAGTCATGATTAGTTTTTATATTTTGTGCATTCTTCTGATATGCAATACTGTTCTCCGCATTTGATCTTTAACAATGCTGACAAAAACAGATCTGATTGCATTTCATTTTTCAAAAAAAGAAAGAAAAATGTATCTTATTTAAATGAAACATGATGTTGAAAAGTTCATGCCAGTTACAATATAATTTTTAAAGAATATCAAAATGACACATTTATTGTTGTGCAACAGCAACAGCAATGTGAACGTTGTGTATGTGTCTTATTTTTGTGCTATGTGTATTATTGATGCAGTGCTTATCCTGGTTTTTGTGCTATATGTATTATTGAAGCAGTGCTTATTCTGGTTTTTGGGCTATATGAGTTATTGTGTCAGCTATGCTTATCCCTCCGGCATACGGTGAACTTGTGTATGTAAGATCTGATACAACACATAAGTTATTATCTATAAAATTAGAGGGTTGTTTCTTCTGATGTAATGACATCAGAGACATACAGACAAAGTATGCTACATCGTCCCAAGCCATGGGTATCAATCCGCCCCCGCTCCTACAGTTGGTAGGAGCGGGAGTGGATTTAAGCCTCTGGATTGTGACGATGGGCATGACCATGCTATAGAAATGATAGATTTGTTCAAAGATATTTGTAATCACTACAAAAATCTAGAGTATAGAAACATTTGTTGTATATGTTGGAAAGCTTGATATATATTTGAATGTATACCGGTTTTTAGAAAGGTTTTACATATATTGTGTATGAATTGTATGATAAGGGTGTATTAAACCCCATCAGAGGCTTTCCGATTTGTGCTCTGATATCTTAAGTAATTTTCTTTCTGTTGAGAAAATCTGTTTGCTGAACGCAAAACATGTATTTTATTCATAAAGTTACATGGTTATGCACTGGAATGTATTTGTTGAATTTTCAGTACCAATGTAAGAGTTTAGCCCGAGTTTCCTCTAGCCCTGACACCAGACTTAGACATTTTAACAGACAGATGTCTGTCCAAATGTCTAAGTCTGGTGTCAGGGCCAGAGGAAACTCGGGCTAGTAAGAGCTAAGCATGGGAGCTAGATGTAATCCTTTGTATTCTGTTTGTAGAACATAATGCTTAACATAAGGGAGAATTTTCATGTTTAGACTGTGGTTTTGTTAAATCTTTCTTGATGGAACCTCTTTATGTTTTGATTATGGTATTTTCTTGTTGAGGTTTTTATTATCATAATTCTACATGTTTTGATTCAATGATACTTGTAACCCTACAGCTTACTTAATAGAGTGTAACTTTTTTAAACTCATCTCAGTTACACTCTTTTCTTTTTCCCCAATTAAAGACAGGAATCATTGAGGCTTGCACATCAATATTGTAACCATTATGATAAAACAATGGACAAACTTGAGGCTTTGAAATGGTCCATTTGTTGTTTTAAAGAAAATGGAAACAAACTATAATAATCTAGATCATTGTGTGAAGTGAAAACGTTATGAAGATATAGACATCATTGTTTATTCACAGAAAACAAAGACTGTTGATGAAAAATCTTACTTTACTGTTTGAAAAGTCCAGTCTTAATGTGTAACATGAAAGATAGCGGGATATATTCTTTTGTTGTTTAACTTTCTCGAAGTGTTTCAATTTTGCGAACATTTGAGGCTACAATCATCCTTTATTGCAATATACTTTAACTAAATAATACTGGTTCATACACAGCCAGTAATTGGTTAAACCTTAACCATGAAAAATATAAATATTAATACCCAGCAAAACATACCTGTGATACTGGTACAGTATTTAGGTTAAAAATCTTGTCATTTATAGTTATGTAATTGGTATATATACAGTAATAATGATATAATCTATTTTTTCATCTTGACAGGACAAAACAGTTTGCAGCCATGCATGTTTTGATTATCAATGCAATGTAATTTTTACAAAATAGAATGTTCACAACCATGAACTCTGTGTGTTGGTATAATTAGTGTACTTCTAGGAACCATCGCTGCAATTTTTGTTTCATTATTGTTTTTGTTTTTGAGATTATCTGTGAAAGAGGATTTTTGTGTCCACTTGATGACTGTTTGTTTTCCTTTCCCTGTGGAATCCTAGTTATTGTAAGTTCATTGTACATCATTCTGTTTAGTCTGTTTCCAGCCGAGAGAATAAATTATTTTTGTGAATTACTTTTTGATGGCTGTCTTATTTGTTCAATATATGCCATTTTAATTGACAAAAAGGTAAATTTTTATTATTATTTTATGAGGAAATAAAACAAATTATCCATGTAAAATTTCAAAAAATATCAAAGCAGATTACAAATCTTAATAGTTGAAAACTGAAAATAAATCTCTGACACTTACATTAATTACTCCAAAACAACATTCTATAGTTAGCATATGCCAATGGGCATCATTTGTTGGACATCAGCATCTTTAGCATCTTTTGAAAAAAAGCGTCTTTTCTAGAATGACTGAATAGATGAAGGGATTTTGTCCAATTTGCATTCGAGGGGACATAATATTGAATGGAGGATCCCTCAGTAAAGGTTTCTGAATTTTTGTCTGGAGCATCCACGGACAAAAGTGTCTCATTGTTGTTCACATGTAAATGCGGTTGGTTTGACCTCAATATAAGCCTCTTGGTTGTATAATTGTGCTTTTGAAAACAATTGAAACCCACACATTATAACCACATACACAGTGATCACACAGTGGTAAATATGGCTCATTACCCGAACACCAACTCTGGAAAATTAAAAGGACAGTGTTTATATAGGAAATCCATTGAAGTTTAGGTATAACCTGTTTCAACTAAGAATGTCAATTCATTTTGTAGATATGATACTAAAGTCAATAATAAAATGGATAACAAGTTTTTATTCATACATATAACTGTAATACACATTTAATACAGCACTAAGTTATAGAAAAAAATAAAAAATATTAATTTTTACACTATATGAAAAATAAAAATAACAATACATTATAAGAAAAAAAAAATTCCTTAATTTAAGCAACATTGATACTAATGTCGGCAATAAAATAAAGTTTCTATTCATACATATAACAGTAATACACATTTTAAACAGCACTAAAAGATAATTATTAAACATAAATACAAACAGCAAACCACTAAATGAAGCTGAAGTTTCTAGCACAAATCACATTCTCTATATATATCACTAAAGTCTCTAGCACAAAAAATTCTATCCAAGATGTAGAAGCTGTGATGCTGAGTCGGCGTAGGTCATCAGGTCGATAGTTCCAGTCTGATAACAGTCTTTCAGGGTGGCCAGGCGTCTGTCGATGTTGGTGTATCTCTTCTTTCGGGGTTGAGTAGTGCCTCCTGCATCTCTCTAGATCCAGTTGATGTCATTCACGTTCTGTATGTCTTTAAACGTCTGGATGATAGTGTAGATGCTGGGGTGGGCATGCAGTACTCTTCTTTTCAGTTTTCCGTGCCAAGCTTCCAGAGGGTTGGTAGTCCGAGGTCCCTCTGTTGAAAAGTGGTTTAAGGTTGGTCTGTATCCTTCTACCCATTGGTCTGCGATGTAGTCTGTGAAAAGCAGCACGGGATGTGGTATGTCAACATCATCAGCATCTTCAATGGTTTGGAACCAGACGTCTTCTATGCGGTCTAAGGGGATGAGTGGAAGAACAGCGATTATTCTGTTGTTCTGTTCAATATCGTCGAAGAGGATAAATGGTTCGCCAGTAGATGTTTCTGTCCATCTTCCATCCAAGGTGATGTCGGTCAAGGTCTTTGTTAGTGGAGGAGTCTGTTTGCGTCGAGCACGGTAGAGAGATGATTTGGCAGTGTAAAATGTTGGCAGTCACTGGACCACGGCTTTGGAAGTGTCATCCCAGTCGTTGTCTCGGAGTTGGTTGAGTTCCTTGTCGAAGATGGAAGGTATGGGTCTGATATATTCTACGCAGCGGTTGGTGATCTGGTTCATTAAACACTGGCTGGGTCTGCGGCCTGGTTGTGTGGATGACTTCCGAAGTTTGCTGGTTTGTTGTTTACTGTCGAGAGGGATGCTGAACAACCCGAGGTTGAACATCTCCAGAATGTTCTGTCGCCGTTTCTACGTATTTGTCTGTAGATGAATCCATCATGGGAAAGGTTCTGTCTACCTCTTCTTTTGGTGATGAACTTAACGTTGATCTGAGCGTTTGCCATCTTGTAGTTGATGTATCAAAGCACAAAATAACAGATAATAATCTCAAACTGAAGTCACACAAGTTAAACACAATTCATACAAATCTGAAAATAAGTACAAGTTTTACTAATATATGACAAAAAATATAAGAGAATTCACACAAATCTGAAAATACAAGTTTAACTAATATATAATAAATATATGATAATTCACACAAATTTGAAAAGTACAAGTTTTATTAAAACATTGACAAATTCTGACTACAAAATTCACATTCACCGAGTGAAAAAGTTGATGTTTCAAAGTACACAGCGAAATATGATAATTCTCCAAAACGTGCTGCTGTTTTATAGCAGCTTGGGATTGGAACTCTTATAATTAATTTGTTTGATTCTGAAAACTTTTCTAAATATTAATTATTATTTTGCAATTATTAGCAGTTGATTTACCTGTACTCTATTTTTGCAATAGACTACCATCACAACTGACCACCTATGCAAACATGTGTTTTTTTAAGCAGAGTTGGTGTTCACAGAATCCACCATCCTACCCTGCTTACAGAGACTTAATCCCTGGGGATTGGCTAGTTTGTTTAAGGAATACTTCTACTGGCATTTCGTTACAACAAAACAAGTTCTGATCGGAAACGGGAATACCCCAATTATTTATAGCCAGATTAACCCTTCTTCTAATTTGTAAATTACCATAGATTGTATGTACATAAAGTTCCGAAACCCCAAAAACTAGAAATTTGAGGTGAGGAAGCACCTTACCAATGCAGAAAGCCACACAAACTAACCATTTTACTGCATCATATATATGGTCTTTTCGTCAATTACATCAATTTTTCTGAGGGACCTATTTATTGACAAGACTGTCTAATTTATTGAATTTCTTCAACTGTTTCTTGTACATGAATTTGTAACAATCGCTTGTAACGGGGGCCAAATTGTTTCAAACTGTGACAAAAACTAGTCAAGTTTCCTGATGATTATTATCCGTCACAAAACAAAAGCCCCAACATTAACAATGTACATTGTAAAAGACAATGCAGCTAATCAGCATACTTCCTGTTTAGCTTCAAAACTTAACAAAAGCAAATGCACTACAGGAGAGAAAGTGTACTACAGACCATTGTGACAACTTAGTGATGTTTCGATAGAGGACATCCTACAGTAACATTTTTTGCAATAGTTAGACCACAAATAATTTGGACGAATAAAGTGTATACATAAAAGGTAATTGACATATTAAAAAATTGAAGCAACATGACGTAATGATCGTGCACTATATCACGTATTGATTAAACATGTCATTTTGCCCAACGAAAATTCAGGGGTCTTAATATCATTTGTCTCGCGCCATTTATAGCAATTGTATATTTGGTTATTGTAAGGGGATCTCGACTGTTTCTTACTACGATTCTGGGACTCTGTCCCTTGAGAGAGGATGGAACATCAGGAACAATCCTGGTAGCTTGGATGTTTCCGTCTCTTCATGCCCAACACATGTGTATGTGTTATGGCTGTAATGGTGATGATCTTGATAATTCTTCAGTAGTATGGCTTTACTCTAAAATTCCTCTATTTAGGCCCAATCCGTCCTGCCTATGGGGTCGTGCCAACCTCATTTATAAACATTTCAAACCATTTTTTAAGTGGTTTTGATGATTACAAATAAGATTTTTTTGGTATTCAATGGAAAACTACAACTTTACAAAATTTGATTAGTGTAATATTTGTATACACAAGTTTGTAACGAAGCATATACTGATCACCATAAAGAATCAGATACTAGTTGTGAAACTCTCGGTGTTAACATAGATATGTTCGATATCTGAAACTGAAATAGATACAAATCGTTCACGGTTAAGATGCACATCTTTTAAAATTGTAATAACAGATATTCTCTCCTTGTCATAAAAAGTTGTACAACCATTGGGGTTAAAGTTATTTATATCAGCGTGTTGGAAAAATTCGAGAAGATTTCGTTTCACCGTCGTAATGATCAGTATGTAAATTCTACTTTCAATTTCAAATAACTTCGAAATATAGTTTCAACATAAAAACAGCCTCGCTACCCCTCTGTTAAATGCTAGTATTTCAATTATTAATTGAGATTAGAAAAGTGAAATGGGCTATAATTTTTTTACATAATATATAAATAATAAGCGAACAATCTGATTAAAACCAGGTCTTTAATTCCACTCCGATACCTTGGAACGTAGAGTATCAGAATGTAATCAAAGATCTGGTTTTGATCAGATTGATGAGCGAAGGAAGATCAATGATATGTTGTATTAAGATATATACATATTTATATAAATAAATTGTTCAGTAACACAGTACTATCCTGCCGGACATATAAATCTAAAGTTTAATAATGTTGTTTCCTCTACTTGAATTCGGATGTCTAACACAATGGCCATAAAACAAATAATGAAGTCCGATGTCTATGCACTTTTTAAAAATACAACGTTGTTTTACATGTAGTATAGAGGCCGCTACGGTCTACGGCCTTGACGACGATGTGTATTAGAACCGTTTCCTGGTCGACTATTTTATCTGGGATTCCAAGTACTAAATGGTTCTCCGTGGTGTACTGCCATTGTACGATGTCCACGCCTCCAAGCGTTCCTGCTGACACTTCGTAGAAATGAATATCGACTGTGTCAGAAAACACATCTGACCAATCTACACTCAGCGTGTTCTTAGTTGACGTAACGGTTTCAAATTTGTCTTCTGAAATTCAAAAATTCAAAATCCATCAAATGTTTTGCTTGGCGATTTGTATCAATCTTGTTTTTTCCCCTTATTTTATTAATTAAGAATGGTCAGTACAGATACAAAGCGGTACAGTATCTTATAGGTTTTATAAATGGAAACGTTAATATATTATATGAATTGAACATGTGAAAATGTCCTGATATATTTCCAAAAGACAACATTGTTTTACTTTTCTTTAACCATCCTATTCAGTACCTTTACACGACTTGTCCAAAGCTGTGTGGATCCTCAACTGTTCCAGTAGTGTGTTGCTTTTCATCCCCAGTGTGTTAATAGCACTAACGGAAAGGTTGTAGATCCCATTAGTGAGCAACATATCTCCTGTTACACATACTTTTGACACAAGTGGATCCAGGGATTCGATGACGTCTTTGAACGAAATATCAGGGCCGCTGACAGCAAACTGTAACTCAAATGTTATACAAAACATTGCATACACACTGTGTACAACTTATTTAGAGAGGGCGTACAGTACCCGCATCACTAGCACGGTACCTCAAGTAACAAATAGTTTTTAATTTCCTAACTGAGAAGAAAGTAAAATAATATCAGCTGATCTGAAGCCAGGGCTTCAAAATATGATTTGGTATAAATCAACACTAGTTTATGGAGCGCAACGGAACCTTAAATGCTTTTGTTTATCAATAGGTGATTCTATTAGAAAAAACAAGTTGACATTGTGATGAGATCTGATGTTGAGTGTTATTACCTCATATAGAATACCGGTGGTATCGAGGGGGGTCCATTCACATCTGATACCCAATCTGCTACTCTGATAGCCGTCCTGTGCTGGGTATTCTTTTGCCGACATCTCTGTCACATCAAAGGTGCCGTAGGGAAGAACTGGGGCCGTCGTCGTGATTTGGACTCCATTGGTGGTTGCTAGGGTCTTTAAACCGGCACCATTTTCACATTCCACACTGGAATACACTTTTTTACCATCAATTCTGCTCATATTCAGTTCTACAAAAGCTGAAGTTGCTGTCGCTGGAACTTTTGTAAAAGATTGGATATCGTTTTCGAAGTAATTTGTTCCTACAAAACAATTTGGAGTAATTAGTATTCTGCGTTGTTATACCATGTCTTGCAGTTAGTTTGATGTTGAGCAAACTGGCCAAGATATATCCTAAGAAACTTATAATTTAGCTGACATCAGTCATGTATGATGAGATTATGTTTATATATCCATATTTTTATCTATCAGATGTATATTGTTGTTTTCTCTCTCGTTTAAGCATTTTTTTCTTCTAAATTTGAGACAGTTTACTATTAAGTATGCAGTAAGAGGGTTACGCAATCCAACACATCTCTTTAATGCTTCATTTATAATCTGCGTACTTACCAATTGCCCAGGCACATGACTGAATACCTGATTCTGGATCTATGATTTTCCAGTTGACAGTTATAATGTTGCTCGATTGCATTGACAGATCCTCTCCTACAACAAAAAGAAAAACAACAATGGGAAACAGAGTAGTATTACATTTCTTTTCTGAAAAAAACTCAAGATAAAAAAAACGACAGATATGAAAGCGAGGAAATGAAGAGCCATCAAAACAAAAGGAAAAAGATCACGTGTTCCAGAAGTGATTCATGTGCCAGATTTAGCACGCGTTATGATAACTCTCGTTCAATCTTAAACAAATAAAAAAAAGAGAGGCCATTATGTTTAATTAACCAAAATGCGCATATTAGGTACATCATGATTAAATCTAGATTGGGACAGTGAGAACCTGATTTAATCCGATTCCATTAAAAAATGTTGATAATGACGGAAAACCATCAGCTTAAGACCAGAAAAAAACCCATTTAATTTACCGGAACCATCATTTATCCTCAACACGACAGGTGGGGTGAGATCGACCAGTATTGGATCAGCGTGCAGTATTGTCCTCAGCCCAGCTGCATTAGTGGCCATCACTGTCACGTGGACGATAGCGTTGTGATCCAGATTTAGGTTGCTGTTAGACGAGAATGTGTTCCTCCCCACACTGGTCAGTGACTGTAAAGTTAGTCCTCCCCTTACCGTACCTGACAAGTATAGCATCACATTGCATTATAGGTTGTTATTGAGAATAGCTCAAGGTTATATGTCACGTTAATGTGGCATGACCTCCTTTTAAAAAGAGTTATACTCAAACAAACTTGCATATATTTGTTAAAAGTTGTCATTTCACCTTTATTGAGAAAGACAATATACATTTAACCGGTAAACAAGATTATATGCATTGACCATTACAAGGTAACTCGTATTTCTCAGTCTAAATTAAAATAAGCTACTTAATTTATTGTATAATTAATTGTCTTATGTTTGGTACATGTTTTTCAAAATAAGTTGATATGTACAATAAGCACAGAACCAGATATGAAACTCATTAATATCATATATTACCAATAGACCAAGTATAGTCTATGATGGGAGATTCCATATCTTCAAACGTCCATTTGGCACGGACAATGGTTTGCTCGTGAATGAAATGCAACTTTGTTTCTATATGGCCCATTCCATCGGAATCGTAGTCTGCAACACTGTCAAATTGTTGAACGACTATATCATCTATTGAGAACCCCATAGAAGGTCCGATCGATCCAAGGGTCAACGTTTCACTTACAGATGACGCTTGGAAATAATACAGATGTGTTTCCCATTGAAAGTTTTCCCGGTGACCCGGCTCATTTCTTCCATATTTCTTGTGTAAAAAGAACATGCGTGTTTCAGAACCAAATTTCACATAGGCTTCTGCGTTTGACATTACCGATGATGGAAGAGTCATGTGTTTGGTAACAAAGGACACTCTATATTCTTCTCCAATCTCCAGGTTCTCTAGGGTTTGTGAAACAGACATTTGTACAAGGAGAAAATTGTTATTTACGTTGTTTTTTGTTTCACGAACTACGCCACCGCATCCCTCTAGTTTCCAGTCCACAGGACGGTATACAGATAAAATACTGCATAAATCCGATTCCAGAGCTGTTGATAAATTATTGGAATTCTGGAGAGAGGATTCAAAAGAAGGATTGTCAACAATGTTCTTTCTCCATGATATATACTTCGATGGAATAGGTGGAGTATAGTCAATAACGACTCCGTCTGATACTGCTATTACAGAGTGTTGACCCACGATATCCACAGCATACACCTTGTTAAACAGCTTAGAACCTGCAAGGTACCATGCAAGTTATATTTGAATTGATAATAGAATGATGACATGAAATCACATTTTCGAAACAAATCTAGTATATGACGCGGAAGCAGAAAATAAATGAAAAGACATATTGGTTTTGTACACATCACGAACAGGACGAGTTATATAGACTTGGATGGAAGCCTCTGATATACGCAGAAAAGATCATAATTACCAATAACATAGAAGATAAAACGTAAAATCCGAAAATAACAAGTACACTGTATCTACCTAGACGGATAGCATGGAAAAACTACTTAAAAATCCATTTATAATCAATTATATCAATTATTAACCAACAGCATCGCAGAAGTTGAAAGGCTTGCTTGCTTCAGATCAAGAATGTTTTAGGCGTAAAAAACGCGTTATTTTAATGATTATACAATTGTTCAAGCTGTTCATATTAAGCAGTATGGTCTGTCTGTTTTTAAGTATATTTATATAAGACTGAAGCAGGAGAAATGGGCCCCAAACAAAGAAATTCAGATGTAGTTGTAAGAATGTTAAAAGGAAATCGGCGTGATATCCTAAAGCATGTTGTTGATCATAGACCAAAACTAGAATCACCGCTAGTCAAACTTGGTGGTTATGCACATGGTTCGGTATGTGTTTGGAAACACTCTGTACAGGTACATATTTATAGAGGAGGCTTGATAAAATTTATGTATGATGTACATTGCCGAAACATACCTTGAATGACAGGAGTTGTGATGTTACTGAAGTAGGCTGTATGGAGGCCAACAAACCGCCAGGGGAGGACCGAACAGTCTGATAAGTCAGCAGTTACTCCCACACACCAATAGTAACCAATCAGTCCCGTCGTATCACGGAAACCCGCCCAAGTCGCACCCAGCTGCTCGGAGGCGTTCTGATAATCTGTGTCATGGATTCCTGGAATACCAAATAATAATTTTAATGTTTTTCAAACAGTAGTTGATTGAATTCCTAATAAAATAAAATATGATTTATATCACAAAACAAACGTATTTGAAAATAAATTGATGACTTGCAAGATAATAAATATTATAAAATATATGTAGAACTCAGCATTCTAGCACATATACTGCTTCCGTTATTTTTGTTTCAGTAACTTACCGAGTCCATCAGATACGAGGCCACTGATTGGTTGGTCAGTATCGAACACAAACCCGTCTGATACAGCTGTACGATAAATTCCTGAATGTCCGTAACCAATCACATTCGTGTAATATTTGACTTGTGACCGAAAAGGCGCCCAGGTTATATTGTGTGACGTCAAATGTGCAGGGAGACTTACAGAACTTTCAAATATACCATGACCTGGATAAAAGATATGTTCAACCATATCAATAAATTAAAACATACTGGCATTCGAATAAAACATTTTATTTGAAATTGAAATATTCAACTTTACAAAATATGGATATTTTTAGGATGCTCAATGACAGGGAAGTCAGTTGCAGAAAACACCAGAAGCCAATAACATAATTTGCAAACACTGCTTTAAACGACTGAATAAATGATAACATACATATCCCAACATTCATCTGTTTGGGAGAATAATGTTATTTTCGACAGAGTTGGCAAATAAAACGGACGGTATCTTCCTTTCAAAATATTAGCTTTTGATTTTCTAGATGTAAAAACTGGGGTGTTGATCAGTAACAGTTCAGTTGTTACTTAAACTATAATCAATAATATACAACAATTCGAGGGATCCACTATTCTGTCATGTAAATAATGTTACCTACCGCCTGGGAAGAGGCTCACATAGATGTCGTATATGTGGATATGTTCCTCAGCACCCAGAAATACGCCGGACCAGTCTATGTAAAGTTTCATAGGGTCGTTTGTTAAGTCAACTTCCTTCTTGTTTGTTCCATGCTGACGCTCCTTCACCTGAAGAAGAAATATATCTATATTTACTTCAGGATTGTGTACTGTATATCTGCAAGTTTTCGTAAAGTTTAGTTTTAATTTTATCGACGATTATATTAAACTTTCGAATCAATGACCATGTGGATATTTTGAAACCCTCGAACTAAACAAACGAATTGCGAAATTAAAACCTCGTAAGTAAGTTCTGGATGAAAATAATTTTATAAAATAGTATTAAAAAGGTACTTCATTTACAATGATACATTACAATAAAATAGCAAAACTATAGCCATACCACTATTAACCATAAGGCACATTTAGCTGTATCGCTGTATTAAATGTTATGTGAAGATGAGCAACAAAATATCCCATCTGTGTCTTTCAAAGTTGGTCAATATCAAATTTATTTGAAAATAAAATTAACAGCAATCAAGTTAGCACTTCATCTTTCATTCCGAATAGGCCAGATATCAATACCCCGCGCATAATTGATAAGAAGTTCATAGAAAAAAGTGGTCGCCAGACGATAGACGGACCCTATGCAATTATCTAAGCTCAAAGGCAATTCAAGGCTTGTGAGCTAAAATATGAAAATATTAAGATTGACGATGTTTGTGATGTGATCTTTATATATACAATACTACTGATATATAATTTCTATACAATACCATTGCTCCTAACAGCTTTGTGACACTTGGAGGTTGATCAACAATTGTGACACCGTCGGATTTATATACAGCGTAAGTCGTAATGCTAAACCATGATCTTATGAACACGGAGTATTGGAATCCACTCTTCAACTCCTTCCCTGTAATAATTTACAAGTGGGATTATGGAGTTACAGATACTCTACAACCGATTTATATCAATTTGTTTCGCGAATGTGTGCTAAATTATAGATGGAAACCCTAGTCAGTGACCATCTATCTGTCAATAGAAAGCGGATGAGAAACATCCGACTTTAACTAAACAGCAATAGGACATGCTTTTTGTATACAAGTTATTCTTTACATCCCAAAATACACAACAAATGATCGATAGTGATTCTAATTCAAACGGAATAGTCAAGATTAGTCAAGTTACAGTGCAAAATATTTATGCAAAACATGCTCTAACCTCATTTTGGTTATTGGAACTTCAACCTGTGAGGAGATGGCCTAAATACATTTTAAATATATATTTTTTGAAACAAGTTGTACTAAAATCAATACTGTAAGAAGTAGTCTTCCTATCACCTCGTGGAAACGTGACCGTGACGTTATGAAACTGACTGGCGTCGTGCCAAACCCGGTCATTCAGATGATCGTATACTCCATCAGGGATATCACTGTGTGTATAACCAACACTCCACTCGTACCTGAAGGGTGGTCAATAAGATTCATTATTACGGTACTTTCTTGGTAAGTGATTTGGCATGATGTATTTATGTGTTTGATTAACACTGATGCTTGTTTATCCACATTGAATACTTCATCTACTCATAACTAGACTATCGTGTTATAATGTGGTTGTTATAGAGAGGTTGATAAATTGACAATGGATACTTTTTCATTCTCGATGCACTTTCCTCTCAAAAATAATTCAATGATAAATAATTCTGGAACAATAAATAGATTCCCATCAAACTGTTATTTTGGCTCCTTGAATTCTAAACATTATTTCTTGTAAAGACACGTCAATGTTTTGTCCATTTAATCTTTAAGATTAAATTAAACTTGATGATAAGCGTATGGTATTGACATTGCATATTCTCACCAAAGCACAGTCTGCCCTATAGAATGCCACGAGGCAGATACAGCCATGTTGCTGTATATATAGTCGATGTCGCCTTCAGAGGATGATCCGGTGTTCTGTATATCAGTTACCATAACTCCTCCTAGGTTGTCTAAGGATGGACATATAATCAAAGTGTTATTAATGTAGGAAACCACGGTCATGGCACAAAATTAGCCAAAAGATAATATTCTCACTGTTTTAAAACTCGTTTTATCATTTTCAAAACGATTCAATTCGACAGCACATATGATTAAAACTTAATTTGATCCTGTTTGCTGCACCGTTCCTAAACTCCGTCTACATCTTTATGAATCCCCAAAACGTTAAGATAATACCAACAGTATCATTGATAGATTCATGTACTTTATATTCATCAGGTGTAATCAAATACCTTACAATGAAAAAAATCTATTAAGATATTACATAAGTCACGCTATTAAATATTGAGTCGCTCAGTAGTGAAGTACCTTTTGTGACGTCGACACATGTCTGTGAAGAAGGACATGCCTGGTCCTGAGGAGAGCACACACAGTGACCAGCACACGTCAGACTAGAACATCGACGGACCAGTTCCATTGCACCTCCAGTAATTAACACAAACCGGCTATGCACAACTGGACTCCGCAATCCAGCCTGATTTATTTTATATATACAGTTTAGAAAAATAAATAATACAACCATTTTTCTCTATCGCTGATAGAATAATACAAAATGGACTGTTCAAATTCATGATATGTTTTCAAATAAAATAAGTTTTACAACTCATTTTATATCCTCATTTAACTTGTTCAGCATATGTGTCGTATACCTTAAGCTAATTCAGTTATTACCATGTTATAAAAGACATTTTACTATTAAACGATTGCGTTACATCTATTTGAACAGCCGATCTTATTTGCAATATTGACGCCAAAGAATGACATAGAAACGATATAGCTGAAGGAACAAAATATTATTCTATGTCCATCTGTCATTATGCCGCTAGGTACATTTAGCGCTACATACATTATGTTTTGTCAATCAAATGGTATGACTGACCGGGCGATGCCAAAATGATGGGAAGAGATTTCCACTCAACATTGCATAACTGACGGAATAACTATATATAACCATTTTTTTAGAGTTGTCTTTTTTAGAGTTGTTTTACTATGTGAAAAATGAAATAATAGTAATAGTAATCAACGAGTTGTTATGAAGGGAAACACAATGTTGTTAGTTAATATGCATTTCTACTTATTATAAATTTGTAACTGAAATAAGAGATGAATTTGTCTACATAATGTGTTTACTTACACCGTTAACGGCTGTTACAGAGATGTATACACTCATTGACGGAGTCAAACGTTTGGTTCTGATATTGAACACTTGTATGGCGTCCTCTCCATTGGCATATGGTGTGTCTATATCATGTATCAACCGTTCATTTGGATACTTTAAACAATGAAAAAAAATCTTAAATAAGATTAAGTAATTTAAAATCATCGCCGTTTTAATGATACCATATCTGTTATTAAGTTGATGTTTTTAATAAGATAAAATATGACGTTCATTGAATATAAGTGATTGCAGTACATATACCCCAATGCTGAGTTGTTAAACTATCATATTGATTCACAGTGTCGATAATTGGATAGGAATATTTCCAGTTTCATATAATGACATTTCCCCATTCACTTTATATTTAATAGCATTTTGTGCCTATTAAAGGACAAACTTACCAATAACAGATCGTTTGCCATGTAAGTTTCACCCACTGAAATAATGTAGTGTTCCACCCCCGAATGTACATCGTTGAAGCCCAGCCAGGCGAGCTTTAGTCTAAAATCTGTCCAGGTCATCCAATCCGACACATTTCGTTGTAGCTGCAGATTCACCGAATGCTCCGTGTGTAAAGCAAACATTCCTAGCCAATATATTAAAAACATATTAGACAAATCGATTTATATCTTTGTGATGTCTCACGGTTGTTATCGTGATCTGTTTTCCATTCATGGTATTTCAGCATCAGTGGCGTGAATAGGAAAGGTTTCATGCGCGACATTCAATGTGATGCAAAACTGGCCTGCAATTATTTCTCTCTATACCGCCCAACGTGATGCAAAACTGGCTTGCTATTATTTCTCTCTATACCGCCCAACGTGATGCAAAACTGGCTTGCTATTAATTCTCTCTATACAGCCCAACGTGATGCAAAACTGGCTTGCTATTATTTCTCTCTATACCGTTAAGAACAATTTTGCAGTTATATTTTTATTTATATTGGCAAAGGTTTCTGCACACAGAATTACAAGTGGACACAAAATTACCAGTGGATACAGAATTACCAGTGGATACAGAATTACAAGTGGATACAGAATTACCAGTGGATACAGAATTTGCATCAAATACGACTGCTATACAATATATTTCAGTACAAAGTACATATAAGTATATATAGCATTATATTGTAAATAAGTTTTATAGGAAGACTATTTAGGAGAATGAAATAGAAATGTCAGCAGAGAGAACTAAACAATTTTACAAATGTATCAAATACCTTTGAAATAGTCGATCTAGAATATCAGTGACATAAACTGAATCATTGAATTGATATAATATAATAAATAGCTATACCCCGGCTTGGTGGTGAAGAATCAACAAATATGCCTTCTGAAGTGGAGCTTGCACAAACTTCCGCCCCATTGCATGCTACTATTGTGACGTAATATGTACTTCCGTCATGGAGATCAAGGCCTGTCAGAATAAAGTCACGTGTAAAACCATCCAACTGAAACAAAATTATGGAACCATTCAATTTTATAATTGCATACGATATCTTAATCTCATAACTGACTTCATGTAAACACGTTTGTAGTGCAGGTCTTAAAACAGAATAACTGTTCGATTATCAGCTGTGTTTTTATTGATATTTCTCATATATGATGATCAATTTGAACGTACCTGTTTAGAGCTGAGGTTAAAATCGCCACCAACGTGTGATTCTAACGAAATGTACTGTCTTTCGATAAAAGACTCTGGGTCAGAAACCTGCCAGACAACTTTCATACTTGTACGGAATATCAATACATTGGGGATCATGCTTCCTGCATCAGACGCTAAGGTCGGTTTAGAGTCAAATTTTGGGGAGCTGTCATCTATCAGGAAACCGTTGGATGAAGACTCGGTGTATAAACCTGTCATATAAAAGACAGAAAAGACATTGGTAGTGTTAATATTTAAGTTTATACATTCAAGCATTAAAACAATAAACACATTAATATTCGTTTGGCATTTCTTTAGCATTGTGTTAATCGATATGTCAAGCCTTTGTCAAAAGGTACATGTACCAATGTAGATTCGCAGTCTGGATATGAAACTATCGGTAATTAGTGACAGACTAATACATTGTCTGCCTAAACTGTCATGCACAATATGATATCTACGTTTTCCGTAGCATTCATACTATAAGCGTAATAGATCTTGTAAAGCCAGAAACGTTAACTCTATGAATCTGGGAGGCGTATGAATAAATCATTATAGCGAAATGTGCAGAGAAACATACCAATAGTCAAGTGATTTTGAAAGTACCTGAATTACCAAACAGGGCTACGGGTACTGTTCCGGTAAGGATACTTACCCGCTTTGTTTTACGCCCCCAGTCCTGGTTAAGAATACTTACCCGCTTCGTTTTCGGCCCCAGTCCTGGTTAAGAATACTTACCCGCTTTGTTTTACGGCCCCAGTCCTGGTTGGGAATACTTACCCGCTTTGTTTTACGGCCCCAGTCCTGGTTAAGAATACTTACCCGCTTTGTTATATGCTCGGACCGTGACAAATATGTATTTGCCAACAGGTAACAGTGCAGGTAACAGGTTGTTAACCAATGCTTCACACAGGTGACACTCCTTTGGTGCCATGATGTCGTCACTCCCACGTGATGTGCCTGCACGCACTACGTAGTTACGTAAGTCGGAATGGGCGTCGCCAAAGCCGTACCACGTGGTACTAAGCGTTGACCTGCGAGAGTAAGATAGGAACATTGTTAATTTTGCACAGTCAGTTTTCGGTGTTTATTTGACAGTCGTTCAACCCTTCAACATTAATTTTGGTCCGGACAAAACGTAAGAAGAGTAAATATGACTTTATCTGATCAATTGATAATCTTTGCTTAAGCTTCTTTACCTGTGGTATTGGTACTCAATGTCGATGTCACCAATTCCGTCTAAGACGACCCCGGTGACTGGTACACTGTTGTCAATGATGACCCCGTCGGAGGTCGAAGCAACACAGAAGTCAGCAGTGTTACACGTGGAGACCGTTACGTAATACTTATTTCCTGGTCGTAGTAGCAAATTATCAAACGTCATTTCTGAAACGGTAACGGTACCATATAATAATAAAAGCTATCTATAATAAGTTCCATTTAGAAATATTGAATTTCAATCTGTCTGATTTCAAGAGTATACAACTAAGACATACCTGTGCTTAGCCCAACAGAATAATTGGATATTACATCGTCACAGTGCTTGCACTTTCCAATGGAAACCGTGTATTCTGTAATGGCTGTATGTGGGTCGTAGAAACCTTCCCAGTGGCAGGATATCATTGATGTTCTCGTTTGGTAATCAACATCCTTGATATAACTAGCAGCATTATACTTCCCATCATACACCTTCCCAGTGACCGGAGGCGACATGTCTGCTACAAACGCCCATGAGGTTGCCAACGAAGAAAGGCCAGCTCTATTTCGAGCCTGTGAAATAAAACAATTTTAATATGATTTATTTAGATATAGTTTTGTGTCCGTAAATGTCTAGATACTACGAGTAAACTGTGCATAGGAGTAAACTGTAACAAACACAGTGTACGATCTAACAATGCAATAAAGCTCAAGGTATATGTCCCTTAATAATGAAGAAAAAATATTTGATTGTGAATGTCCTTATTTTTGCCTTAATAACGAATTCAGTATTCATCAATAAAACCAATAGTTTGTAGTATAGATACACGACTCACATTGCCTTGCACTATGCATATGTGAATTAAGTCAGAGATCAATTGTCGAGAAATCATATGATTATATATACTTACTATAACAGATACATAGTAAGCCTGTCCGTCGGTTAAGTTTAAATGAGCGTCAGGATGGGTCTCTGCACATTCGGTAAGACTTTCCACCGAAGTAAACGTCATGACGTCATCATCTCCTGGCTCTGATCCCAAAGCCCACGAGAAGGAGGATATACCACTTTCATAGTCCAGGAATACGTCAGTCCAGCTAAAACACGGTTCAACGGTTCTTTATTGTTATCAATAAAAAAATGAAAAATGTGACGTTCTGATAACGTCCTTATAATTATGAAAGCAGTTTTTATTGCAGTGCATATATAGTAATAAAAGGATTGTTGAACACATTTTACCACTAAATGTTAAAGGTTAACGATTAAAACAATGTTATTTTCTTCTGTGGCAAAAAACTCACAATAAACCAATCAATCGTAAAGC